ATTGTTCTAACAACGTTAAGACGGCTTATCGACTTCTTGAGAAGAATTCTAAGAAGAAAGTAAACCTACAGACATCGGTCTTGTTTAACAAAATCTGCCATATATATAGACATTAAGTACATTCTACAAATAAGATAACCTATACACAAATGGTAGTTTTGCATTTCTGTAACTGTGAAAATTTTAAACTCCACAATATCTATTGGCAATTTAAGTTTTCTGAAATACTCTTTCTGATGAAGCACCTTAAAACTGTCATACAGCACAGGAAGAGAGAAAAAGAGCTTGAACTGTAATTATCCAAAAATTAGACTAACTAAGAAATGTTTGAATAATTATTCAACAGTTTGTACAAACTGTATTCAGTACCATCTTAGAAATCTGCATAATAGAGGTGAAGTTGACTGAATCTTAAACTAAATCATAAAATTCATTTAAATATGAAAAAAAAATCAAAGTTATCAGAGTCATTATAGTTTAATACAACTTCTTTTTTAAAATAGTGTACATTTATAGGTTATTTATTAGCTAGTTATGAAATGAAAACTCTGACACTGGAAAGTATCAGGAAGGAAGATAAGCTTAATTTTGGACTTTAACTTGATCAGTCAAAAGTCAATATTTTCCTTATCTGAAAGTTTTTTACTGACAGATATTCTTCTCTGCACACAGAATAATTTAATTCCTTCATTCACCTATCTATGAGATTTGCATGGCATTAGCCATGAGTTACCTCCCACCTAAAAAACATGTTTAACATGAACTATGCTACTGCATGATGTCATCATGATGTGACAATAGTCCTCCACAAATAGGAGAGTAACACAATCTCCTTGTGCAATAACTCCCCCAAAGCACTGGCTCTCAAATTAACTTCATTCTTAGGTGAAGCAAAAAAGAAAGTGCATTGGAAATGGGGAGAACAGGTAGGGAGGTGTGCAAAGTGTTCTATCGAAACTACATTTTCTGATAAAGAAAATGTTAACTTCCAAGACAATACCTCACCTCTCCACACAACATAGCTAGAATTCCACACTGAAATGATGGAGGCAAACATTAAAACTAGATAAGCTCCTTCACAGGACACAAAATAGTTTGGTAGATTTGATTAGCAGAAATTGCTAATCAATACTAAATTTTATTAGCAATTAGAAAATATTGCTTAGCATCTTTTAACATTTATCATTTTAACACATTATGGCAACTAAGTCCATCATTAAAAATCTTAACTCTTTGTAAGGACATCCACTAACAAAAAAGAGGTAACTGGTAACTTTTTATTCTAATAACCCTTTTATTCAGCTTTAAACCCTAATATTTAACTGTACCATACATGGCATTTCATGAACAAAATAGTTCCTGGTATATAAAGTAAAACTTCAAAACTGCAAGAATTACCAAACACCTCAGCTGTCACAAAATAATGCAACAATCAATTAAAAAGAGAAAGAAGTGACTTGAAGATATTGCAACTGAACAAGGTTGCCATAAATTGTTTTTCAAATTAATCTAGTATATTTCTTTTTTTTTTTGGTGAGACCTCATCACTCTCTTTACAATGTGGTCTCCTTGGACTTTTGAAGAAGAAAATGTCTAGTGACTTTTCAGCAGTAATCACCCCTCTAGCCACAGGTATCCTTTACTGTGCATTTTATGAGGTTTTAGTGAGTTACAGTCCAAATTTAGTTAAACTACTTTTTGTTCATGTTATATCAATTAGTATAGCTAGGAGAATATCCTGTCTCAACAAGACCCAACAGCAGGGAATGGTTTAGTAAGTAGAGATAGAGCAAAAAAAGAATTATGGGTCAATGTGGTGAAAAGATGAGAAAGAACAAAGCTCTCCAGAAAACCCTCCAGAGGGTAATAAAGTGCCTCAGAAATAAGATGAATTGGAAAGATGTAATGCAGGAGGGTGCTAAGTAAGAGACAAAGGTATAAAAATTGAACACTTGAAAGGGAAGTTAAGGGGTCTGCCTACCCAAGTAGGTAAATGATTCCAAAACGAATTGAAGAATGACTGTTAGTCAGGAAAAAAAGTCAAGTAGACAAGGAGAGTGAGACATATTAGAACAGGTGCACAGTTTTTCAAGAAATGAGCCCATATGGACCCTACTATTAGGCATAGAAGGGAAAACAAAATCAACTTGAGTATGGGTTTCATGATGTAAAGCATGGGAAGAAGCAAAAGACACATAGAAAGAGAAAGAACACACTTGCAAAATCATGTCAAGGAAGAGATGAGAAGGGTGAGGATTTTCCTCCACAAATAAAGCTGTGCCTAGAGCAAACCCTGGTTGGGAAAATAGGAGGTCAAAATCACCATCCTGACAGTGGGGAGAAGGAATGTTGGCCAAATGGACAGAAAGAGGAAGCCCAGTGTGCATGAAGGAACTCTCAAGACATTGAACAATGGCTGTCAAATCCTCCACAGATAAAGAACCTTCAGTAGTCACAGGTCCTGTGTTAAGAACAGTGTCACTATCATGAAAAGAAGTGGAAGTTATCATCATGCAAGAAGTCAGAATGGCAGGTAATCACCATTTTTTTTCTTAGTGAAATTAAAGAAACCAAACTAATTATGTGAAACACAAACAATAAAACCAGGTAAACTTGAACAAAAACTAACAATATCATAAACTAATGTAAATCTCAAGTAACTGATTAAAAATTTTGGAACACATCCACCTTAGACAATGCCAAAGAAAAGAATGAAGAATTTGAGCACAAATGCTTAGGGGGGGAGCTACTGTGCAAAGGAGGTTGTGTCACCCTCCTATTGGCAGTAGGCTATCAACACATGATGATGATATTACTCATTAGTGCAGTTCACATTAAGCATGTGTTTTTTAAGTGAGAGATATCTCAAGACTAGTGGCATACAAATCTCTAAGGGAGATGTGCAAAGAAATCAAGCTATTTTGTGCGAGGAGGTGAGGTATCATCTCAAAAAAGATATATCCTCAGGAAATATTTTAATTTTTATAATCAATATAAAATATTTTGTTGCAAGTTTAATTACAATTAAATATTGTGCATATGTTAATGATGTAGTTTTTTGGTAAAATAAATAAATAATATTTAATGTGTGAATAGTTACTTGCTGAACTCACTACCTGGTCAACTACATAGTGGTAGTAGAAAACATTTTGTACATCTTTGTAACAAAGCTCATATTGAAGATATTCAATATTTCTAATAAAATAAAAACTATAACTTGTAGCTATATTTAGAGCCATGTAGCACAAAAATGTAACAGCAAAAATACATCTTGATAAAGAGGTATCAGTGAAAAAAGTAGACAGAGGGGTGAGATATGGTGATCCAATATCTCTGGAACTGTTTATTTTCCAAGAAGCATTCAAACAAACTGAGCTAGAGAATGAAGGTATAAAACAGATGATGAGACAATAACAGATCTAAAGTATGCAAATGATGTAACTCTCTTCACAAATTCAACAAAAAAAATGGAAGCCCTATTAAACAGTTTGAATGCCAGTAGCAAGAAAGCAGAATTAAAAATTACATAAGGGAAAAACCAAATATATGACCAACTATCATGATACAGATATCATTAAAATTGAGAATGAAGAAATAGAGAAAGTGTCAGAGTACATATATTTAGGACAAACCCTCAAAATGGAAAACACAACAAGGGAAGAAATTATGGTAAGAATAAAGGAAACATGGTGATGTTTTGGAATGTATAAAGAAATTTTAGAGGATCAAGATATTCACATTACTTTGAAGAAAAAGATCATGGATCATGTGCATACTACCAACCTTAACATATGGCTGCCAAACATGGGCACTAACAAATGATATAACGAAAAAGATAGAAACTAAACAAAGAGCTATGGAAAGAAAAATACTTCACATAACACTGCAAGACAGATGGAGAAATGACAGAATAAGAAAAACAACAAATAGAATAGATGCAGTAAGGTTCATTCTAAGAACTAAATGAAAATGGGACTGGGCATGTATTCTGCTAATAGGTGAAAATTATGAACAATGGAATGGCAACCAAGGACAGAGAAAAGATCTAAGGGAAGGCAAAAGAGAAGATGGAGAGAAAATATAGAGGCAGAAGCAGGAATCAGATGAACACAGTATGCTAAGAATAAGAAATACTGGACTGGTCTGACAGAGAGCTACATCCAATGAGGGATGACTGCAGCTTAGATATATAGCACAATGATACAAGTAATGCTGTTACAAATTTCATCCTGAGAAAGATGAATGGGCAGTCGCAGTAAAATTGTTTGTAAATGAAGACAGTGGATGTAACTTGATGATTTGGTGTAACTGTGTAAACACAAATAATAATTCATTTTATTGTACCTAGTTTAATAATTCAAGATGAAATCATCATGGTACAGACGTTAGACTGAAATCAACTCTGCTGACTGGGTTTTACTGCTTCTTTGATTTTATTTATTCAAATTTATGTAGAGTCTTTGCTCAAAAATCTGAAGATTTTTTAAATACTTTTAGGGCATGTTCTTATTTGCTTCCAAAAATTATTTTTTTTTTATTTTCATTACCTGTCCTGACCACTTCTATGAACAGTTATGTTTTGTTTTGTTTTTTTGTTTGGTTAAGTCTTTGCAAAAGTTGTATATTTGATATTAAAGTGCACATTATTTTTATTTGTGCCACTGTATGTTTTATTCTATTTCTTTAAGCCACAGATCATACATAGTTCCTGAAATTGAGCAATTTCTGTACTATACTCAGAATGTACAAACTTGGAAATCTCTCTATAATTATTAAGTTACTTCAATAGACCTATAAAATATATACATGTAAAAACATTTTACACTGTTCTAATCAATTATGCTTCTTAAAATGTGACAAATAATATAGAAACATGACCCCTATGTGTTTAGTCTGATCTGTTGCCTCAACATTAACTAGAAAATAATTAGTAATATCTTGCTCACCTTGTTCTTAAACACAAGTTTCTCAAGATGTAGCTCATGAATTAAAACTGCACGATTGGAGATACTTTCAGAGTCACGAGGTAGTTCTTGGTCCATCACTTCTAAGGTTGAACTCAAACTCTACATCGTTAAATACAGTGAAAAAATATGTATTTACAAAACTTATAAAATTCACTAATACACATGCTGTATTAAAAAATTTAAAGTATGCACAATGTTGAAATAAAGCAGATTTAAAAAGCAAACAAATATACTTTGTAAGTTAAAAGCATTTAAATTCACATGTAATTTTCACCGAAATTATGGTAATTACAACACATCTTATGTAGTTTGAACATTAAAATGTAGGTGTTTTTACTCTGAAAATATTGTGGTATGCAGGCATACCATATGTTTTCTATCTTTTTATTTTAATATTAAATTGTTCCAAATTTATCAATTATTTTAGGTATCTGCAGATTTCACACACTACAAGGTCAACAAAGTTAAGTTGTTTTCACCCATTTTTTCTCTGCTATTCCCTTGAAATAACAACTGGTCTGTAAAGCTGCACCTTGTGCACAAATATGGAAAGCAGTGTCCTATAATGATAGATTAGGTGATATATCAGTGTTAGAACCTCCCTTATTCTCAAATAGGAATGACCAAACATGTGGAAAGTGTTGGACATTATGGTTAAGTCTCACGTTGCTGTTCAACTAAGTAATGTAAGGTTTAGTTAGTCTGGAAAAGGATCTCCAATAGGGCAGTCTGAAACTAACATTGAAAGAGAAACTTTTGGATTTACCTCTCCAGTAAAAGTAACTATATGTCATCCAAAATCAAGTAAAGACAATATGTTCATGCATACTTACTAAAGACTGTTCCTTGTATTTTTGTACATTTGTGTCTAGTTTCTTTATCATTTTTTGTGATCTCATTTACTCAGAAATACTTTGTAATAAATATCTTGGTCAAACCCCCATTTTTCAGTGGGCCTAATTTGCCACCGTAAGGATAGTCAGTATGACTTTAAAATACCACAATTATTGTTAGTTGCATTTATACTTAATCTAGTTAAGCTCCTCTTAAACATTCACTGATCACCAGTGTTCTCTCTAAGCTGTGCAACCACACAACAATTAATCAAGTGCCACACACTTTATTATTCCAGCTGTGCTCATCCTCGGTAATGGTGAGGAGTCTCAACACATTGATGGCTTTAATGACCCTGGCAGTCGATAGGCATGAAGCTAAAATAACCAACTGATAGCATTGCAAAGTGGCCTAATGATCTAATGCAATCAATGACGTAAAAATACCCCCCTGCCCCTATAAAATAACTGGTAGTGCACATTGCCCTGATACTGGTGCACATGAAAAAATTCATTCCACACATGGATTGAAACAATTAGAGGGAATGTTGTTGATTACCATATTCTAACTTTACAGATCACTTTAAATATGTTTATTTAATCATCTAAGCTTCTGCAATCTAACACATATGTAGAAGGTACACTCAGTTGATATTTAACTTCATTGGTGCCTCTACCATTTACCTCACCATGTATTGCTGTAACTTTCTCTTTAATTAACCACAAAAGTAGACTTAATGCAACCATTTTTTATAGTATGATTACTATTACTTCTTCTTTACTGTAAATATTTTTCAAAGCACTAAAATACTGCTGCTTGTCCTCCAGATGTAGCTTTTGCACAATTTTTGCTAAAAGAGACTACACCTTTCCCTACTACTTTTCCCTTTAATCATATAGTGACAAAAAAGAATACTTTTAGTACATTAAAAATGATGTGAAGTTTTGTTTTCCCTGGGTAAAGGAGAAACACATGAACTTTATTGGTTCAGGTTAGTCTTTGGGGAAGCTATAAACAGACTTTCTGTTACTAGAAATAAATGATCTTATAACACCAAAATGTTGTTTTTATTTAATTAAACACTCAATGTTTTGCTTTACAGCTTCTTCAGGAGTGTTCACTAAAACACAAACCAACACTGATAGTTCAAAGCTTGAAATGGTTTAAATAATAAATTCTACTTGAATCTGTAACGTGCATTTGCACAATGTACTTTCGTCATATTAAGCTTTAACAATAAGCTTTACTACTTAATAGTTACAGTATTATAATTGCATAACAGAAGTATTCATGCAATTCCTACCTTATAACTAGTAAGTAGATATACAGTACTAACAAAAATAATTTCAATCACATACAACTATACTTTATTTGTGTGAACGGTTTCATTTGGTACAATGAAAAATTATCTAAAATAACTGAATTCTAATAAACACTGACTTTTGTATATCTTTAAAGCACTGTAAATTATTCTTTTTTTTTAATCCTTCATGATAACATACAATACCAGATAGAATCCTAAACTTCCTAATTCAGATACACCAGTAAGTTTCCATACTAAATAAGTTACTGAGTGAAAAAGTTAAATCTTTAAAAAATTCAACTTATTAAAATGGAACATCACAGTAACATTTGCCTTTAGGTTATCTTTAATCTATTTGTTGTTTAATATGTTGTAACTCTTAGGATTCACATTCTGCACAATCATAAATGTGTGTTAAATAGCAACCAGCCTCTCTAAACTTATATGTATATACTACATTAACCTGGGCTTAAACCTTGCTCGAAATTACAAACATGACATAAGAGTACATACTTAACTGTTATAAGCAATGAGCCACCTCCCCAAACACAAAAATAAATTTAGGAACTTGAGTAACATGTGTAAGAAATTTCCTCAAAGACAAAACAAATAACAATATTTCAATATTATACCTCATTAGAGTGAATGTGATAAACATATTTACCTGTTAATTATTACAAGTATATTAAAGTAATTTAAATGTGTTTTTGTTAATATGTCTGTGTTTAGTCAGTATTGTCATAAACACTTCTTTTACTTAAATTATTCATACTGAAAACATATTTTTGTCATACAGAAGGATGAAACATTATTATGACCAAATAACAAGCTTTTTATAAGTTCACATGTACAATGTAGGTCAAATTATTTATACTGTAAACACTTGTATTTTACTTGAATACTGCAGTTCACAAATCGTTTAAGTTTCAGTAGCAGCATGAGAGCTCCAACCACATTTGACACAGCATATTCATGGTCACAGGTTTCCTCAAGGCATGAAACTGAGGTAAACAACCCCAATAACCATGATGACCTAATTGTCTTGGTAGGAAAAAACACTCACACAAAAATAATATACAGGTAAAACAACTGCATGTCATGCTTGACTGACCAAACCAGAAGTACAACCTAACCTACCAAGCACATCAGAAGACAAACACATGCCAAACTAAACAAACTGGTATGGACCTGTTCCTGTTAATAATCCAGGTCAGGATCAGTAACTGAGCTAAATATAATTTTATAAGCCTTATAAGATTGTAAAATAAAGACTTCTGGATCCATTAGTGTACTTAGAGTAATTTATAAGTGTACATACAAATACATGCACTGGCTGTACAAAAAATTTATGAACAACTTATTTTTGTACAATAGTTAAATAATCACCTTATTTTTAACTATCTTATCAATAAGGTAATTATTTATATAGTTACAGTATTATATATATAAAACAGAAGCTTTCAGAAGATTCCTACTTTATTAATAATAAGTAAATCAACAGTACTAACACATGTAACTATATATTTTTTTATTGTTATTTGTGCAAATTGTATTTCATTCAGTACAATGAAAAATTACCTAAAATAAATGTACTCTAATATACACAAAATTAACTGTGTGAGTGAACAGAAACACTGAAATACAAAAAGGTTAAAATATTAATTTAAACTTTGGTCTAATGATTATTAGTGACATTTATTAACATTTCTTATTGATTGAGTATTTGGCACATAACTGAAAGACTAAATGGATTAAAATAACAATGATATCACTCACTGAATAATAAGTACATATAATTTAAAGCATTCTTTGGTACATAACAGCACATCATATTATTTGAACATAATTCTGAAGTTAACTTGGTAGCAAAATTTATACTTATTATATATATTTTTTTTTGTTTTAAATAATAGCTTAAAAACTTTTACACACTACAGTTTTGTTATTAGCAAGGTATATTTAAATTTCTAGTTATCAAATATAAGCAAGTGTCAGATCCAACAAGCACTGGCTTTTGTATGTCTTTAAAGTACTGTAAATTATTATTTTTTTTAATCTTACATGAAAAATACAAGTAGAATCCTAAGCTTCTTAATTCATCAGATACACCAGTAAGCTTTCATAGTAAGTTATAGACTTGTTCATAATTTATGACAATATCCAACTAACCACAGAAGATAATAAAGCAGAATTAAAGATGGTTCTACATACTGATATTACTATAATATGACAGTTAACATTCATGTACAAATATGATTAATACATACAGACATACAAAAATTAGAAGTTAAGGTTTAACTAGATTTTGAATCAGCTGAATATTTTTTGTTAAGCTACACATTCTACAAATTACTTGAATCAACCTTCCAATGAATATGACCAAAATGCTTCACGTGCATTAATTCATTCTAACGTTTATTTAAAAATCTTCTTACCTTTCGAGCCAGAAATTCTCGGACCAGTGAAGTAGCTACACTTTCAACATAGTTGTGACCAAGATGAACAGGAGGTCTGTTGTCTTTATTCGTCTCCCCTCCTTCGACCGGCATATTTTCAGAGAATGTTCTCAACTGTTGTTGTACTCTATACACCTAATGTGTGTGTGTGCGTGTTTCCTGCTATACTACAGATAAATGTATTGCAAATTATAAAAACCTAACAGTTCATAATTCAAAGTTTTCATAAAACCTACTGTGACACATATGGTAAACATTTGTCAATAACAACTTACATAACATATGGAAAACAAGTGACCATTTGGTCCTTCATGTCTGTTCTTGTACACCCACCTTTGAGAAAAGTTAAAATTTTAAACTACCATTTATTTTTCAGGAAATACAAATATTTTCCTATTAATCCCTTGAAAAGTTCTAGCATCCACAAGTACTACCAACAGCAACTTATTTCATAAGCCACTCACTTTGACAGAAAAATAAAACTGTCTTAACCAGGGCCTAGTCTGTTAAACAGGTGTCCTCTCATTTTGTTGTCTTCAAAACACAGCAAAAAGAAATCAGACGCCTTTGTAATATTGAATTCCAAATACTCGTGTAAATTTACTTCAATAACATTCCCTCTTATCTTTCTTTCTGTTTTCAAGAGAAACGGTTATCTTAACCTAACCTCATAAGATAACCCTTCCATCTCCAGAATAAATCTGAACCATTTCCAATAAGTCAGTATATTTTATTAAGTAAGGTCAAAACTGTACAAAGTATTCTAAGTAAAGCCTAACTAGTGATTTGTATAAAGTTATCTATCTCTTTTAAATCACATTAATTATGTTATAAAAACACCCTGAAATCCTACTGACTAGCAACAGAGCACTGCTATGATGGCTTAAGTAACTTATCCACCACTAGCTATAACAAGATCCTTTTCTTCAGTCATACTGTTGAATTAGCTTCAATCTATAATAAATATATAATCCAAATTATGATAATCTAAATATATTACCTTGCATTTACTATAATTAAAGGTCATCTGCCAAATATTTGTTCAATTGACCAACTGATTCAAGTTTCACATAAACTAAACAATTACAATGATTAACTGAAATTAGTGTCTCCAATTATTAATATTTTCAGTATTCCAACTATCCAAGTAATCAAACTATTGCTATTATGGTATTTATTGTTAAGCACAAAGCTGTATGATAAGCTATCTATGCTCTGATGAGTTTTAGTCTCATAAGTTATTTATTTGAGTTTGTTCAGCTTTGGTTTGGGGTGGGACTCAGGTTCCCATAAGGATCTCTAAATCCCAACCAGCACAAAATGTTTAGCTAATATTCTGTGTGACTCCTTACCAAAAGTGTTTTTAAAACACAAGTATATCACGTCAATACCATTTACTACCTAACAAGAATAGTAAGACAAGTTTCACCAGATTCTATAGAATTTTTCCCACAACACAAGTAAATCTGGATAGCCTATAATTTCCAAGATAACTCCCTTTAAAAACTAAAGTAACATTTACAACTCTTAAATCCTCAAACACAAATATTTATATTCAATATTTCTGTAGATACAATCTAAAATACTATTTGTCATACCACTAGCAACAGCATATTGCTTGGAAGATGGATGGCTTAAGAGACTGATCAACCAGGACACCAAGTTCCTTTTCTTCCATAATGTTGTTAAGGTTATTAATTTCCATCATAATTATATTCACAATTTAAATAATAATAACCCACATGGATTACCTTGCATTTACTACAGTTGAAAACCACCTTTCTTTTATTCAACCAACTCACTAAATAATATTTAGCATTTCATTAAACAGCAACATCCTCTCACAGCCAGCAACATCCAAGGCCTTAATATCATCAGAAAATTTAAGCAAGTTATTATTATGCTAACAGACTTAAAATTACAGGGATCATTTTATCACATTCCTTCTTGAAAAAGAGACCTAATATTACTATTCATATTGCTAGTGTTAGCCAACTTCCATTCAACTTTCAAGGACTTACAAAAAATAGTAATACCCAATAACAACTGTGCATTAAAAAAGCTTATTAATGTCAGTGCAATAAAGATTATAAAAACAAAATGAACAATTAATCAGCAAAATAATTAATATAATAATGACAGTATATCAATTATATTTAGTTATATTTTAAACACCCTAAATACCACAATAAGATGTCTGTCAAGTTATATTTAAATGTATTTTAAAATTAAACCACAAAAAATATACACCTGTCCAAATAGAATTTCAATTACCATACAATTAATTACAAATAAATTTGGTAAAACAAAAAAATTGAGTTGCACTGTTCTATTAAAATTCTTTACACATACATATATATGCTGTTACTGAGTATTACTATTAGTATTACTAGTAACAGTATTACACTTCTTGAGTTCTTAAAGTTAAAGTGCCTGGTGCAAACCTCCTTTATTTTCAATGATTAAATCCACATTTTAGTTTTTACAGATTCTCTGTAAGTGTATAAAACTTATTATTTATCCTAAGGTATAACTATAAAATATATTAAATTTAAAAATTAAATAACCCTAAGTCTATTAGAGAATTTAAGCCTGCACTAACTTACATAATTATCACAAACTTCAAAGTACGGTCTGACTTCTAAATAACGATGTTTGTCTTTTAATGCCAACGTCGAACCTCGATGTGCACAAACACACTTCGTTACACAGTATTCACACTAGTAACAGTAACAACACTGTCAACAGTTTCATCTAGTACTAGTAGTAGTCACTACATATATAGCACTAGTACAATCTATTAATTATGTACTCTCTAAAACTTACAAGTCAAAGTTCAAATTCAATTGAAGTTTAAAGTTTAGTTAATTAAACAATGTTTAAACTACTAAAAAGGAAATCTTCCACTGCCAGTGCCACAGTAATCAGTACACGTGATTTCAATTTACACCATGTACCGTAAATAATTCACAAGGTAACCTACACACCACATCTTGATAGTATTTATCTTCCCGAACCAGAACACGTCGCTAATCTACTATTAAAATAAAAATACACAATGACATCGACCACCTCGTAATGTTGTACTACCAGTTACTGAGTTAGTAGCACGGTATTCCTAAAAACATGTTTACTACTAAGTTAAACAGCGACGTGATGACGTTTACTAGATCAACCCAAGATGGGACTGGGAATCTAAAGACTCAATTTGAAACAGAAGAAACTTATGCCAACGCAAAATAATTGTTTTCGAAAATAAATTAAAAGTATACATAAAGATATTTATTAAATCAATAAAAATATGAAGTTTTGTTGGGACTTGTCAAGTATAGGTTTCACAAGATAATGAGACTTCAGTGGCACAGAGGCAAGTCTGCAGACTTATATCACTAGAATCCGGGTTTCGATACCTGTGATTGGCACTGCACAGTTAGCCCACTTTACAGCTTTGTGCTTAACTGCAAAGTAACAAACAAAATAATGGAAACACCTCACCTTTTTAGCTTAAAATTATGTTGTTTCTAAAATAAAATGTAGTAATAGTGTAATTTAATTGTTGAAATTGTCTATATAGGAATATCATAATGTTTTATTTTTTGTTTGTTTGTTTTACAGAGAAAAGTTTTACCTTTTTAGCTTAAAGTTATGTTGTTTCTAAAATAAAATGTAGTAATAGTGTAATTTAATTGTTGAAATTGTCTATATAGGAATATCATAATGTTTTATTTTTTGTTTGTTTGTTTTACAGAGAAAAGTTTTAACATGGTCAAACTAAAAAGACCTGTCGGATTTCCAAGGATGCTTAGTTTTATATAAACGTCTAGCTGGATTCTTAGTCATACGAACCCGTAAAGTAATAAATTTGCCCCAAAGAAAAAGTGATATCAGCCTGGATATAAAAAATAAAAGCGTAACAAATAAACAAAACAGTAGTTGAAATATAAGATGACAGATCGTGATAGCAATAACACAATAGAGACATGTAAACAAAATACTACAGCGTCAAAAGAGAGCGCAGAACTTAACATTGGCCTACAACAAACAGTCTCTGTCAAAACAACTCGAAGGGGCTGCACAATATTGGTTACTATGGTAGGTCTGCCATTCAAAAACTTATAACAACACAAAAAATACAAAAGATAAGTAAAAATATGTGTCAAGAACATAAAAAGTGGGACAAAATTTCAATGGGAGAATGTGATTTCATTAGATGAATCACCTCTTGCACTTTCCCATCAAATGAACGTATTTATTCTGATGAAAAGCAAAAATAAACTTACAATTCTGAATGATTTATGCTACCGGTTAGGGTATTCTCGGGTAAAAACTGATTCTCTCACGAGTATGTGATATGACGCCTTAAGAAATTGGTTATTTAATTATTGAATAAAAAGACTGGATAAGTTTTCAAGAAAACAAACATGAACTTTATTATACTGGAAATAAAACAGGGAGGATCACAGTTGACTATTTACTAGATAATGTTTAATTTTACAGCTTTCACTATTTGGCGAGTTATTTTTATAGAATGTAAAACACGATGACCTCCAAATTAACTCTTCACTCCAAAACATCCTGGTAGAAGTGAACAAAAAGTACACTTGAATTCAACAGGTAAACTATTCCTTATCTATTCGATTACATGATTTCGTGACCCTTGCTTTCTCACACCAATCGCTGGCTGCAACATACAGACATCATCCATTTGGCCATCCTTGATATTGTTACGCCCCCAGTCGTTACTTAATTTTCCGTAAATTCGTT